GCCATCGCTCACGCTTCGTGAACACTTACCACAGCGGAGAAAAATTACGGCCAAATTGAGAAAGAGGCTTTGGTTATTATCTTTCCTGACAAATCCACAAATTCCTATCTGGTCGCCACTTCGCGTTGCTCACTGATCATAAACCGTTGGAAGCAAGAAGGGTATATCAGTATACTCTGCCAACCGTCTTCAACGTGGGTAACAATCCTCTTACGGTACGATTTTACCATCCAGTACCGCCACACCTACGATTTGGGACAAACCAAAGCACTACCTCGCCTTATGAGCAATCATTGAGCATCTGAAGACGACTCAGTCATTACTTCTGTTCACGTTGAGGATGTCCGTCAGTAGCGCTCAGATGCCCTCTGTGGAATTCCGGTTACCGCTGCATACATTCATCACGCAACCAGTGCTTCAACGTGCCATTTCTTCTACACGGTCATAATGGCCTAAAGAAAGACTTACTGGCGAACTACAACAGTTGTTCTGACGCCGCGAATTATTAGCTGTTGTTGATGCTTGTCTTATGTTCGCCGAACGAGTTGTGATACCATCCTCTCACTGCACAGTTGTACTCCGCCAGTTTCATTCTGGTCATCCGGGCATCCGCAGGATGAAGACAAACGCACGTGGTGATGTCTGCTGGCCTGGTATGGATGTCGACATACACTAAGTCACTAAACTACCTGTTTGGCAAAAACCGATGCCGTGGCCACCGCCTCGAGAACCACGGTCCCGTCTTCACCTAGACTTCGCTAATCCAATCGATTGTGTCGTAATTCGTCCTTGCCGACGCTTACGCCAAGTGAACAGAAATAGTAGCACTTAGCCCGGTGACTCTAACCAGCACGGTTTCCGCCCATTGGCAGGTCTTCAGAGGGCACGGTTTGCCAGATGTGTTTGTTACAAATGGGACAAAGTTCACTGTAGCCCTATGCACCAACTTTTGTTCCAGTTTGAAGATCCAACACATACGGGCTTCACCGTACCCCCCCCCCTCAATCGAATGGTCATACTGTACGCTTCGTCGATACCTTGAAGCAAGCGCTTCTGAAGTCGTGTGGGGAGGAGACTACTGACGAGATCTTACAAACTTTCATGTTTGGGTATCCAATTAATCCCAAGGTGGCGACGCCCGACGGTCGTTCCGCAGCCGAAACTCTGATGAATCGCAAACAGCGTGCAGTTCACCTTGCTCTCATCCCGAGGAGCGATTCACCACTACCTGCAGCAGAGGATCAATAAAACAGCTGTGTACGCCCAGGATTACAGACGCGGACACAAGAAATGAGTCTAAGCTGTTGTTACCGTTCGCCGAAGACGAGGATTGTACGCTGTATTAGTAAATGAGGGAACTTGGAGGCGGCAACGTAATCAGTTACGACTAAGGCACTCAGACTCAATGAATGACAAGTCATCGATCACTTTCGCTAGACATATTACTGGACCATAGTCAATTTAGCCACGAGTAACAAGAATCCCACACCAACGGAAATAAGATCGATGTCAGTCTTCATCCTAGTCGATGGACTAATCGAGTCCGACGACCAATAAAGCCCCTGCAGCTGAACCCAAGGAAGCGGAGCTACAGGCAATCAACCTTACAGGTTTAATTTCTCGTATTAAATTTCCCATTTGAAAGTCTGATATTTTGCTTTAGACTGTCGGGGCAAGTGCGAAGCGTGCGAACCGAACAATCATCCGTAGCGATTTCCAAGTTGTAATAATAACAGTAATAATGTGTCAGGTGTATGTCGTAACGGCGCTACGCTGCTGGGCGATCACCAGCAGTCGCGCGTGGGCTGAGTATACCGCGAGGACGCCCTCCCCTATGCGGATTCGAACCGGTGACCTTATGATTGCAAGCCAGGCATGTAGACCACGGCCACCGGCCAACCTGTAACACTCACTAAGGGCAGAGTCAAAACACAATCTGAAGTATCCTCACAAACAGCAGGAACCCATGCAATGGCTGGCGTAAGCGTCCAGCTGAGTGAGTGTGTGGCTTAAGCAGGATCTAAGGTAGCCTCATAGCTGGGGTCTCAAGTGCTTGGTGCTGGCCGCGTTTCTCGACTTTCAGATCCAGAAAAGTTAAAGTGGGACAGGAACAGTAGGAAAATCCCGTGAACGTTCCAGCTTCGAAAACGTCGTTGATCCAACAGGAAATCCGGTGCATTGATGTGTCAAAGGAGAGCCAAATCAACACACACGATTCACATGGCCAACCAAACAACGCCCACGTGCCCTGCACTAGCAGTCCCCGCTGTGCCGGCCACGCGAGGAATAAAAGAAAACGAAAAGAAACAAAGAAGACAAACTATCGAAGTTCATAGGCAATATTAAGTCAAAATGAGTTAGAGGCGTAGGCCGTAGTAGACGAGTAAAAGCTTAAGGCATGAAGGGGAAGAGTTTAAACTGCAGACCGAAAGCGTCAAGTCGATGCTTGAATTCTTTCATCGTCGGTGCCATCACGACGTCTGCAGGCAGTGCATTCCAATAAGCTATGACCCTACGCGATAAGCGAAAAGCTGCTCAACCCCGATCAGACCGGAGTTTGTGCAAAGTTAATGGGTGGCCACGAAGGGTTGGCACTCGAGTTGGGCGAAACAGTCCAGTCATATCAGGATCAATCTGACCCATCAGTATACGACACTTGAGGAGCCGCCTGTAATACGTGGAAGACATCCGATTTACGTAGCCTCTCCAAGTACGTCAGCTTCGTTAACCCGTGCACCATTTTCGTCGCGGACCGCAGGAGTCGTTCAACTGCCATCTTATCACGAGCCAGGCATGGAGGACAAGCATGAACGCAGTATTCCAAGTGCGAACTTACAAAATCCGAAAATAGTCTGACGAAAATTTCGGTGGTCATGATCCCGAATGACCTGCGGATCATCCACATGTTGAAACCTTTGCGAGCAGCTGTCGTTCAGTGTTCACTGGACTGAAAGTCTGATGACAGCAAAACGCCAAGGTCAGATTGGAGTTGAACTCACGGTGTCTCGTCGCTAAGCAAATAACGCGTCGGCGGGTCATGCGGACCAACGCGTAATACTGAACTGAGTTAACATGGGCAATATGGATTCCAGGTTATCTAACCTTGGAACTAGTGTCACGAAAACGCTTACTGTACCTGAACACCGATGTGTTCTGCCCCTACAACAATTATGGCAACTATAAAGCAAGCTTTCATTCGTTGCTCCAATAGTGCCCTGTTCTGGAGCTAAACCAGTACAGCGCTAGTGGAACCATCTGCAACAAACATCGCATTGCATTTCCCCCAACGAATCAAGAACCGGCTCTTGGCACTCCACCTTGCCATACGGCGCTGCCGAGTCAGACGAATCGAAGAGAGTTTCCCCTTCCCATTATTGAAATAATAAAACAAGAAGAACGAGCAGGGCGATAAGACTGAGCAATCGACGGGAGTACGAGCAGATAATGCCGTAATAAACACGCGTGTACTGATGAGAACTCACGAAGTTGTGATAGGTGGATAGCCGCAAAGAGAATAACAAGTTGCCATAACAAGTGATTTGCACTCATTGAACGGCAGAATGAATAGGTCGCGGAAGGCTGATTGCAGTTTCACATCCTCACTTGGGATACCAATCCGATTTCCAAGGGATCAAAAACTGATTCCAAAAGAACTAACACGTGTGCGTCTACTTATGTCAGGAACCGTGTGATCCCAGAAATTGGCACTTACGAAAGAGAATTAAGCAAGAAACCAGGAGATATCAAGTAGGTTGGGACTTCTAAGCCCTTTTGGACAACACGAAAGTTGACGGTCAAACTTTGAGAAAAAGCTCACCCGACGAAGTGCGACAAGCACGCAGTCAAATTCCAAATTGCAGCCAGCGGTAACAATAATAATATCATCCTCACCATCCGCAATACGCCGGCACACTGTACCGGCGCTTCGCTATCATGCGACTACTATCGGTCGCGAGTGAGCTGAGCAGACCACGAGGACCCTCGCCTATACGCGAATTAGAACCGGTGACCGAAGGATTGCAGGCCAGGTGCGCAATTCTTTCGGCCACCGCCGACAGCCAGCGGGTCACTGCAAAGCGAAATCTCCTGCTGAGAATCAAGCAGGAAATCAACAGTACCGAGAAAGGCTTCTGCTGCTTAGATGGAACAAAACCAAGGAGACAGGAGAGAATTTCTTAGGTAAATCCTTAAAGAAGCAATAAACCCACAGAGTATGGATCCCAGGTAGGTTGGGACTTCCAAGTTCTTAGCACGATATGAAAATCGACAGCCAAATTTCCTGCATGTTACTAAAGAACTGTTGAAATACAAAACTAGCATGTAGATCGAACGGTAAAACACGAAAATCACGCTCGAGTACTGATTGCCAGTGTCCTATCCTCTCATAAAGACCGAATGCGCACTGATAGAACTTCAGCGGCGGAGATAGAATGCTGCACACTAAGTGGTGTTTCTCGCCCTCGGATGACGGTTAGTAATTATTATGTTGGTGGCGGGGATCGAAAGCCCTCTGGACGCTTCGGAATCTGTTTCTGTTATCGACTTCAGAGGATGAGCTTGTTCACCCTGGATTATCGTTGTCGTGGTGAGTTGGCTAACACCCGACGCATTCTATGAGGTGATGTGTGGAAAGGGTCGCAGGAACTACTGCACTTATTGGAAACAATTTAAAGAAAAAAGGAATCGAGTCCGTTTCGATGTTACTGGTCAAATCGTGTGGTAAATGAGTGCAACAATCTGCCTTAACTATTCGTTAATGCACAAACCGAGGAGTTTCAAGTGGTTGCTAAACACCTCTTTGCTTGGCATGTATTACGTGTTTGCTGAGTCCGTTGTGGAATAACGCGACGCAAGAACTCAGATAAGCCATGCAGTGAGTGAAGTGGTGGGGGTGACATACTTTCTGCTCTCTACAACCTAATGAATCAAGTACGAGAAAGAAATAGCAGAAAAATGACCACTGAGTATGGAAAAGTACACCGTATTAAAAGATAGGTCACCTCGGGGTTGATTTTCTTCACGGTAGCAGCTGCAACCGTGGCTTTCATTTTTGAGATATCCCAAGGGCGGAAGAGGAATTGTCTATTTAGGTTTGACCGCTCGATAGAGTCCATATCCGTCAGTGTAATTTTACCATGAGGACCAGTCCCAACTCCCATGAGCGCAAAATTCTTCAGCAACTCGCAGCCAATAGCGCCAGCGCCAACCTAGAGGTAGATCATAAGCATTAGTACTTACCATAAAATAGTTCAGGTTGTTTAGTTTCTCTTGATATGGCCGGCCAAATATGGCGATTTGACCATCGTAACGGGTGCCACAAAGCTTCGTGTCACCCATAACGGCCGCGCCGTTTTCACCCGATTCTGTGATTACTGAAGTTGGCAGGCATTCAGTAGAATCAAAATAGAACCACTGGCAGAGTGGTGTGAATTTCCCCGTGCACGCTTTCATGACCTCTTGTGCTGCAAACCCCCCCACAACGGCCTTAAGATGAAAGCAGTAACCTAGAAACTCACTTGTATGGGACAGCATTGGCCACTAGAGGTGAAGGAGAATAGATCGCACAGCTGCTGATCGATCTGTTTGACATATGCTGGAGTGCCTTTTAAAGTGGCGTTTAGGCCTTCGACAGCTAAATAGAATTTCTTCGCATCAGCTCGACACCACGAATTTGGCAATTTGCCGTGTTGTTCCACGTATTTGGAAAGAGCTGCGAAGTATAGGTGAAGCTGGGCCGAACGATCGATCTTCGTGAAATCAGTCACCATGAATACTGGGTTCGTGAAAGCGTCGGAATAAGAGCTCTTAAAAGGTATGGTAAATAAAAGGTCACGTACGAATGTCATCTTCCTCGGCATTTTTACCTTGGTACATATACCACCAGAGATATAGTCCGAGAAAGTAGATGTGTCTCCAATAGTGAAAGCATCAGGTCCTAGAAATGCATACAGAACAACCAATACTTACCAACAACGCTTATTTTTCGTGGTTGACAGTTATTTAATTCTAGCATCCCTTTGATTTCCGAGAAAGTAACGTAGTCACCGTTCTCAAAGTCATGTCGGGTTTCTTCCAGGCAGGTGACCAAGCCTTGTTTAGACTACGGAGATAATAATCGCAAATAAATTATCACCTTCTCAATTTGTTGAATCATGACGAACGGTGGGTCTTCGCCAGTTGGGTCGACAACAGTGAAATCCTCACCAAAATCGCAAAAAGCCATACCGAACACGCCGCAGGTATACGCGACAAGGAGTTTAACATCTAGTTCATGACAGAGTCTGCCGAGTTCCACACATTGGGAATGCGAAGGCTGAGACAAAACAACCACGCTGAACTTTTTGATGTCCTCAGGCACAAGCTTTGGCTTTGACAAAATATGGAGCGGCACATGATTGTTCAGCTCGGACAGCTTGTGTCGAGAAATCTCCGCCCTTCCGTGGCCAATATCGTCAACCGTGGCGAAGAAATGCGTGGAGAGGTCACTCCATGATACAGGAGTCTCGTCGTGCAAAGTGACAGAACGAACGCCAGCAAGCACAATGTTTTTAGCGATCTCGAGACCCAAGCCGTCTAAGCCCCAGATAAGGACATCGCACGTGGCCATTCGCCGCATTCCTTCTGCCCCAAGAACATACCTAAACAGTGATAAAGTCAAGAATATGAACGTACAACTGGCGGCTATACAATCCCTCATCCAACTCCGTTACTTCGCCATTGGAACACATACCCTGAGAAAAATGGTAAGAAAAAGAAGTAAGGGGCGGCTTAGCCCCCCGTGAGAAAATACTTACGTTAGAATGATTGAGTTTTTCGGATAAAACAAAATTATTATTTTGGTTCTGTTCTAGTAGTGATGTGCGATGTCGTTTTGGAGGAGGAGACGAAGACATCTAAACAATTCAGAACATCAAAAGCGCACAGCAAGAGCGCCAGGCGTAATCAGCAGACAGCAGTGAGGTCCTGAGTGTGGACAAACACGTTCAATCTGCGATGAATGCTGCTGATACCTAAGCTCGCAGAGCTCAGAAATTAGTATTCTGTTATTAAAATGTTAGGTAATAAAGTTACTTTATACATTAGTGTTACGTATTTATGCCAGCAAACTTGGATCTGTGATCGGATTTGGCGGTAATTTGAGATTTTACGTGTCCGCGCATTTAAGGCTTTCGCTTCCATAAAACAGTTAGCAACCAACGTTTAGAAATGCAGGGGGTTCTTTGTTAACTTTCCTCAACTTTTTATTGTTCACCATGATTTTGATTGCTATGTCCTCGGATTAGTCGTAGGGCCCTAAAAGAGAACTTCTATCTTGTTACCTACAGTTTTATTACTGATCAACCGTACACTACTCTATATTTTGTCTATCATGCTACGCACACGATAACTATATTCAGCTCGACTCTCATCTACTCTGTGTGTTAGTGTGCTGATACTATCTCCAAGTTCAAGTTCAAGTTGGACAGGAACGGTAGGAGAATTCCGTGTGTATTCCTTCTTCAATGCGTCGTTGTACCAGGATGGAGTTTGCGGGAGCGATTTGAAGCCGAGAGGAGCCAAATCAATACACGCGAATCACATAACGGTCAACCAAGCAATGCCCACGCAGCCTGCACTAGCAGTCCCCACTGTACCGGCCACGTGAATAGAATAAAGGTTAAGGGAATCAACAAAAACAAAATAATGCTAATTGTAGTACAAGAGAGAAAGTGTGGTTAAGACAATAATAGTACTAGATGTGAGAAGCCAAGGAAATGGATGTAGAAGTTAAGAACCAAAAGGAAAGGTCTGAAACTGTAACCCAAGGGCGTCGAGTAGATGTTCAAACTCCTTCACCGTTGGTGCTAATACTACTTCGCCGGGTAGTGCGTTCCATGAGTCATTGACCCTGCGTGACAAACGAACGTCAGCTCTAACGTGATCAAATCTAGACTTATGCAACTTCAGAGAGTGACCACGAAGAGATGGCATCTGAGCCGGATGGAACAGTCCAGTTATATCAGGCCCAATCTTGTTGGTCAATATACGGTACGTAAGAATCAGGTCTCCCCGAAGGCGCCTATAGTGCAGCGAAAACGTCTGCAACCTGAGCAGCCTATCGAGATACGAGAGATGCCACAATCCTTGTACCACTTTTGTACCAACCCTCAGAACTCGTTCAATTGTCATCCTATCGCGTACCAAGCATGGAGGACAGGCCTGCACACAGTACTCCAAGTATGGCCTGACGAAGGCTGAGAACATTATAACAAATATTTCATTTGTTATAATGCCGAATGACCTGCGGATCATCCACAGCATTCGGAAACCCTTGCGGGTAGCATTTGTCCAGTTCTCGCTGGAGTTGAAGTCAGAGGATAACGAGATACCCTAGTCGGTTTGTTCAGTCACTTGACGCAATACATTTCCGCCAAGTACGTAAGAAGTTGTGGAAGTGTTTGATCCTGTGCGCAGGACCGGACACTTTGCAAGATTGACTGGCAGCTGCCACAATTCTGACCACTCCCAAAGCTTGTCGAGAGCTGTGTATAAATCCGTGGGCCCAACAGAATCGCTCACTGTATTCCAAAATTTTAAGTCGTCCGCAAACATAATGCATGGTACTTTAAGCTTCTCAAAGAGGTCATTGACATACAATGCAAACAGTAGAGGTCCAAAAACCGACCCCTGAGGAACACCACTCAGAACGGCTTGTCTGAAAGACAGCCCGGAACCCACTCGGACGCTCATCTGCCTTCCTTCCATGAAAGCCGAAATCCACTTCAATACTTTGCCTGAAACGCCGTACTGTGTCTGACAACACTTAAGTTCGATATCTGCACTCGATTACGCGCATGGTTTAGGACCGGTATTTGTTAGTCCTACCAACTTACACACATTGCCGGCTGCGCATTAAATGCTGTTTACAGTTTGGCTTCATCAAACGACCGCTGCTTTCTGGCACTGTAGTGACCTAGAGATTCCCCTGTCTGTCTGAGTAAGAGGTGTAAATATTATAAGGCTGCGTTAAGCATACAATTTTCCCTTGTACCTAGGTAACGTAGTAAACTTGCCATTTTTAGTGATGTTTGCGTGTGTGCAGTGTACGGGAAAAAGCTCTTTCAGTATTTTCCAACAATGCATCTTACGGTTGTTTTAACCTTCAACAATTCCACTTGGTTTAGTGACGAGCACATCGGTTGACACAAATCGTTTTGCTGGGTACATTGCTACACCGATTCTCGCTCGGTTTGCTTCGCTTTCTATTTTTGCAGCCTGCAGTCTTAGTTCACTCGCTTCCAACTTCTATACTGTCCCGTATTTGATACGGCTCTTACGTGTCAGGGATTAAAGAATGGTAGCCCGGGCTCCGCACAAAAATTGGTGCTCCCGGTCCAGAACACGCCGCCCGCCATTTTGAAGTTTCATTCTGGTGAGCTCGTTCGAGTAAGTTTGTGCTTCATTACTTGTGATCAGATTTTTTCTCACCTATCACTTTTTTCTTCCCCTTTTTCAATGCATTAGCTAGAGGATGAGCCATCTCTATACGCGGTTTGCGCCCTTTGGCCAGTCATGGTCCGTTCAGTTGTGTTAGCCCCTACACCTTTATGCGAGAATGATCCTTCTGCAGGCTTTTCGCACCTGAAAGCCGCTTGGTACCTTCCTAGGAATTCTTTTAATTTCTCCCAGTATAATCAGCTAATATCTCGGAGCACATCCTCGCAGGTTGGAAGCAGCATATTTTGCCCCAAACTGTACTGACATACGAGACTCTTACGCAGGCTATTATTCGGTGTATCACACCTGACAATGTCTGCCTGCAGCAACATTTTATTGCTCTGCAACTTACAGACAGAATGCCCTCATTCCTGTTGCGCTAATGGCGGCAGCAGGTCGGCACGTCCAACATGGATGTGGGGATTCTACGCGAGTTGTGGTTGCAAAGCCTTCCTGAAAGCACTCAGGCTGCTCTTGCAGTAGCAATTGTGTTGCCAATCACAGCAATTGCAGACCTGGCGGATTTGGTCATCGCGCGCCCCAGCCAGAGAACGAAACCAAAGTCTCTAAACAACTTTATGCTGGCGCAACCGCACCGACACCCGCGACTAACCAGCCGTCGGCAATAGACGCATTATCGTCGCAGATAGGTGCCTCAGCGCCAGCTCGAGGAACTCACTTAAAACGGCAAGCACCGCGTCAGCCCTGGATCAGCACCCTGTCGCACAAAACCTGGTGTCTCAGCTTACTGCTTTCACCCCACGCGTTTCGGTGATAAAACGCGTAAGTGCGTACAGCCCTGTACCTATTCCGCTACAGGTGGTCTGCCAAGCAGATCCGTGAGGGCGGCTGAGGGTTGCGGCAATGCCCAAAATCGTCTCACCTGTATTAGGGATTATGATTCCGAGCATCAGTTCTTAGTTGATACCAGGGCGGAAGTCAGCGTCATTCCCCCTATGCCAAGTGCGCCTACCGCTCCTTTGTCTACAAACCGAAGTATCGCCAATGACACGCTAGTAGCCACCCAAGGCCTTTGGTCGCTTATCCTGGACTTAGGTCTTCAGAGCAAGTTCCGCTGGGTGTTCACTGTCGCCCCAGTCCCCTGTGACATTATCGGTATTGAGTTTCTCAGGCCTTTCGACCGCTTGTTCGATGCAAAGCCCAGATGATTCTCCGCACTGCATCGAAGCCCAGTGTACTTAATATCACCGCCGATATCGCATCTATAACATTAGTCTAAGCCTTTCCCCAGACCTCGCCATACTACGCCCACCAATTCTCTGACTATTTCAAGCACGTTCAGCCTATGGACGCAGCACTGTCCGTGACATCCCAAGTCACGCACCCCATGCGAACAAATGGCGCCCCGTCTCATGCCGTCCACGCTGACTGTCGACCGAGAAACTAAAGGTAACTAGAGCGGAGTTTAAGCACATGCTTGAACCAGGAATAATCCACAATTCCCACAGCCGTTGGTCCATTACCCTGCAGATGGTCACCAAGAAAGCAGTTGACTTGAGCCCTTGCGGTGATCACCGCGCACTCAACGCCTAACCGTCCCAGACAGGTATCCCATCCCGCACATGCAAGGCCTTACCGCAGGTCTCCCCGGTAAGAGGATTTCAGTAAGATTACCTGGTTCACGCCTAGCACCAGATAGCTGTAGTAGAAAATGTCACATAAAACCAGCCGCTGACACTCATATCGACTTGTTTGAACTTTAAGAATGCCACTTGGACTGTGCAACGCCGCACAAACCTTCCAAGGCTTCATGCACAACGTCACTCGTAGTCTAGACCGCATATTTCTACCTCGATACTATTGTAGTGGTCAGTTCATAGAACAAAAGAACCTCGACCACTTTCGCACGCTCTTCCAGCGCTTGACCTTACACAGGGACACAAGCAACCCGACTTAGTAAGAACCCAGCAAATCAATGGTAGAATTACTAGGCCACCTTTTTTCATCGTCTGGTATCGAAGTACTTCCTTATACGATCCAGGCAATCAAGGGTGTCCCAGCTCGGAAGTCGTTCAACCAACTCCGTCCAATTTGTGGCATGGTCAACTACTATCGACGCCTCATTCCAAGCTGCGCTCAACTCATGCAGTTTCTGAGTGATCTTCTCAGCGGACGTGAAGGTAAGTTGGCTTTCTCTGACACAACACAGACAGCCATCGCCAAGCACAAGAGCGCTACTTTCAACATATCCTTCCTCACGCGTTCCGAATCGGCTGCGGCCCTTTTTATTACGACTGATGTTTCAGACGTCGCAGTAGGAGCCGTCCTCCAACCACACGTTGGTGGGCAATGGCAACCCCTTTGGTTCTTCGCCAAGTAGTTGCAGCCAGCGGAATCCTGCTACAGCACGTCTGGGAGCGAACTGCTCACCATTTACCTAGCAATGCGTCACTTCCGGCGCAAACTCAAAGGCCGCGCTTTCACGACCTACACTGCCCACAAGCCACTCATTTTCGCCTTTAACTCTGCTTGCTACACATATGCACCACTGGAAACAAGACACCTAGACTTTGGCATGCAGTTAACCGCTGACGTACGTCATGTCTCGTGTCAAAAGTCCCGTCGCCGACGCTCTCTCACGCATCAGCCTCACTCTCAAGTCCTTGCCTACCGTCGACCTTGCTGCCAAGACATCGACTGAGGCTCAAGATGAAGACCTACAAC